TAAATTTCGAAAAATTTATTCTGATTTTCGGTAAATAAAAGTGGGGCGTTACAGAAATGCATCTCATTTTTTTTTTCTTGAAACGATATATTATAATTAATAACACACAAATATTTACATACTAGCACAAGCAAACAGCTGAATCAAACAATTACTAAACTAAATTAGCGAAAGACTACCCGAGGGAGTTCAGTTGAAATGCATCTTATTTATTAGGGAAGTTTGGAAAGGTGATTCCTTCATCTATAAACACCATGTTGTCATTTTTATGGGTTGTGAAGATGTCAAGAAAAGAATAATCAAATAATTATTTTTTTTGAGTTTCTAACTATTTTTGAATTAAGATTCACTATATAAAAAAATGGTGAAATTCTAACAAAAATATACTCCAATATAAATTTAAATGAATATTTCTTTGCTATAACTTCTGTTGGAATATTCCAAAATTTTTCAACAGAAATTCTAAATAAAATATTCATTTGGAATGAGTTTTTAATTGGAAATTTTGTTTGATTTTGATGATTCCAACGGATGAAATATAGGTGGAAAAGAAATTCCAACACGAAAATTCATTTGATAAAAAACTGTTAAAAGATAGTCATTGAAATCATGAAATTCCATCTAAAATTCTAATTAAAAACTCATTCCAAAAGAATATTTTCGTTGGAATAATTCAAACGAAAGCTATACAACTGAAAATAAACTACTATATGATTTTCTATTGAAATTTGATAATTTTATAGTGAATAATTTTTGGGGTAGTAGTTTGTACAAATCTCTCCTATATATAATTCCTGAATGTGCTGAGTTTAAGTGAAAGGCGCACACGCTTTGGGATCCTATATGTCAAATTTTTAAGCTTTGTTGTTTGGTTTAGATGAATTTTAATTTATTTGCAATAAGTAACTAGGCTTGGAATATCCATAATATACTAGATATTTATGGTCCATTTTATGAGCATTAATTTTGTTTTAATATTTTTGCCTATTGTAGACATGATTTATAAGGTTTTTTTTTTCTTTCTAATCTCTCTTTTACAATCATCTATAATCCTAATCATACTGAGATCATCAATAATCCTAATCATACTGAGATTCAACAAGTTACTTTTAAGTTATCTTAATTTTTCTCCATAAAAAACCTAGGTTGTTCGACATATTTATTGGGCATAAAGGTTTCCTATGGTACGCAGGGATCAGTACTAAGACAAAGAAACTATGTTGCAGAGATCCTTGATAATTTGGGCATGACATGCGCAAAAGAAGTGCATTCCCCCATTGTCTCACGTCCTATGATCTTTAACCATGATACTGCACCTTTTGACAACCCTACTCTATTAAGAAACATAGTAGGTGACCTCCAATATGCTACCATTACTAGACCTGAGATCTTATTTTCTATTAACAAGACCAACCAGTGCAAACATGAAACCTCTATAGCCTCAATGGAAATCTTTAAAACGGGTCCTTAGAGGCTTCGCTAGCACTCTATATTTTGGTTTACACATAATCATTAGACCCTTATACTTGGTTGTCCTTTTAGATATTGGTTGGGAAGTTGCCATAAATGATTGAAAGTCCACAAGTGGCACTTGTTTTCTGGGTTCAAATATGATCATATGGAGTGAAAAGAAACAAAAAACCATGTCTCGTTTGAGCATTGAGGTAGAGGTCTGAAGCCTTGCAACAGTTACTTGTGATCTAATTTAGCCAAGATATTTTCTTGCTGATCTAGGCCTCTTATTGTGTAAGCCAACAACCATATATGTAGACAATTTGGAAGGAATGCAGCTATCTAATGACTCTATTTAGCAAATTGCAGATTATTCATCAAGCCATTAACCGGCCAATTTTTTGCCTGGTTTCGTTCTGAACTTAGGATTTATTCTCAAACTCGGTCAAGAATTTAGGGGGGATGTTAGTGATTCACAAGGAGAAATAAAATAGCACAAATTCGGCCAATAGTACTTTTATCGCAGAATCTTGTAAGCTAAAGGCTGGGCTCCGTGATGAGCTCCGCATATCCCTTAATGAACTTCTTCAAGAACATATTTAGATTAAACATTTTAGTAGAGGAACCAAATATCTTATCTTATATAAAACTCCTCCCTCCAGGGTGAACCGAGCAACTCAGATACACAGTGATCGAGCTTCTCTCGGATTTTCTGGTAAGGCCCCAGTTTCTAAGTACTTAATAATGAGGTCCCTCTAAGTCGGATCTTACTGGGATATGGTCATTTCGGTAGTCAAGACTTCGTGGGGCGAAGTAGATGACTGTTCCTGTTGACCGACTTTGACATATTCAACACTCTTCATTCCAACACTTGACGCTAGCCTCGAGAGGGCGTCGGCCTGCATGTTTAAGGTTCGTGGAATATGCTCCAGTTAGACTGTAAATTTTGACAAATTTTTCTTAGTTAAATCTAGATACGGTATGAACCGAGGTTCCTTGACTTCAAAGGCCTTATTTATCTGGTTGACGAGTAATTATGAATAATAAACCTTGAGGTGCTTAAGGTTCATGGATTCTGCTAAATTCAATCTGGACAGCAGCGCCTCATACTCGACCTCATTATTTGTGGTGAGAAAGAGAAACTTCACTGAATGACAAAACAATTTCTTTTCGGGGTCTGCTAGGATAATTTCCTCACCCGCTCCATTCGCAGTCGACGATCTATTGACGTATAAGATCCATGGTTAGTCATCATTCTTCATTTGAACTGCTGGGGTGAACTCTGGAATGAAGTCGGAGAGTGCTTGGGCTTTAATCGCAGTTCTCGATTTATAATGGATGTAAAATTGTCCGAGTTCTACAGCCCACTTAACCATACTTCTCGAGGTGTCTGGAAGGTGCAAAACTTGCCTTAACAGATAATACATGAGCAGTGTTATTGCGTGTTCTTCAAAATACGGCCGCAACTTTAGAGTAGCAGTAACTAACGCGAATGCTAGTTTTTCCGTAAGAGGATAGCGCAACTCGGTATCATGCATAGCTTTACTAATGTAGTATACCGGAGATTGCTGCACTCCTTCCTATCAGATGATGACTGCACTGATCGCGGAAATGCCAAGTCCTAGATACAACTATAACATTTCCTCGGGAGTTGGTTTTTGCAAAGTTGGTGGTTGTTCGAGCGCCTCTTTGATGCTGAGGAGAGCTTTATGGCACTCCTCTGTCCACTTAAAACACATTCTTTTATTTATAATTTCCAAGAAAGGTTTGAAACTATCCATCGATTTTGAAATAAATCTGTTGAGGGCAGCAACTCAGTCGGTTAAGGCTTGGACAACCTTGACCGACGTAGGTGGAGTTAAGTCTGGAATGGATTTAATTTTAATGGGGTTGGCCTCGATCCCTCGTCGGCTTACTATATACCTCAAGAACTTACCAGATCCGACTCCAAACGTGCATTTTTTGGGTTCAACACCATCAAATAATCGCTTAGAATACTAATTATTTTCTGCAAATGTCCGACGTGGTCAGCTGAATATACGAACTTGACAAGCATATCGTACACATAGACCTCCATTGTCTATTCAATTAAATTGGAAAACATCTTGTTAACCAATCGCTGGTAAGTGGCCCCAGCGTTCTTCAACCCAAGTGGCATCATCGTATAACAATATAAACCTCGAGCCGAATAGAAAGAGGTATGTTCGACTTCTTCGGGGTCCATAGGAATTTGATTATAACCCGAATATTCGTCCATGAAGCTTATAATTTCGTGCCCTGAGGTGGCATCTACTATGTAACCTATGTGCGGCAAAAGGTAACTATCCTTGGACAGGCTTTATTCAAGTCAGAAAAATCAATACACATGTGCCATAAGCCATTATTAGTCTTGACGACAATGGGGTTTGACACCCATGTTGGATATTTAGTCTGCTTGATGAACCTATTGTCAATGAGATTTTTAACTTCTTCCTATAGAGCTTTCTGGCAATTTGACCCCAGCTTCCTTTGCTTCTGCACAACCGGTTTAACTGTTCGGTCAACATTAAATTCGTGCCTGGCTATCTTCGGATCGATACCCTTCATATTTTCGTGCTTTTAGGCAAAGACATCGGGGTTTACCTGAAGAAATTTAATGAGCTGGGTTCTGAAAGGTTCTTGAAGATTAGCGCCATTCCGTAGCATTTTTTGGCACGTCGGTTCATCGACATAAATTAACTCCACTTCCTTGCATGGTTCAGCTTGGTCACTTTGACTTCTTTCATTAAATTGCATTCGAGGATCCAATTAATCTTCCTCCTGGACCAGTTCCTTGTCGGTTCGTCTTCCTTGATTCTAATCCAAACTTGTACCCACGGGTTATATCAGAGGTCAACGGGACCTCGGGTATTCAAATTCGACCTCGGTTGCTCCTTCATTTGGGGTAACAAGTGATTTTTGTTCACTTTCTCCATCAGATTCAACCATTTGAATTTCACTAGAAGGCACGGTTAGGACAAGTTCTCGTGCTTCTCTTTGATCACCATAGTGTGTCCCTTCTCCATCTGTCGTGGGGAATTTGAAAGCATAATGAAATATTGATACCGCAACACGAAGCTTATAAAGAGTTGTTCTTCCAATGATGGCGCTGTATTAATTTTTGAGATCCATGATTTTAAAAGTTTCCATAACAACTTTAGAAGCTCGGCTTGTACCTCCAAAGCGAACAGGCAGAGTTATTTCACCGAGACGACACAAGATGC